CTCAGAGACGTGCGAATTTTGCTTGTCACGGTCTACGGCTGGCAGAAGGGCTGGCTATTCTGGACGAGTGTTTCCGACAGTTTAGTGCACTGCAGAAGCTTGGTGCCACGTCTGACTATCCCGACTCTACTACTCAGACGGCCTCGTTCCAAGTCTGACGTGGAACCAAGGAATCCAGACAGTGGGAGGATAGTGAAGTTGAGAGTGATGTCGGGACTATTAGGAGATACCTTCGTAGGTAGGAGAGCAGGTAGGGAAGCTCTCAGTCGTGATTTTCCTTCTTTCAACAGAAGTGCTCAAGAAACAGAAACAAGAAACAAGTTAATACATTTGCTTTACTTTTACGTCTAAGTTCCTACGTCGCCGGCTTACATAAGATACACGACCCCGACGAGAGAAGGAGACCGCGACAATTTGGTGGAGAAGCAGGGTATCTTCTAGCCAAGTTTCGTAGGAACGTAAAAGCGGAGAGAGCCGCTTGGAGATCCTTAGTACCGAAGCACTAAGGCGAAGGAAAAGGGAAGCGGGAACGGTATGAGCTTCCAAAATTGGAACGATCCTATCGAGGATGAGGAGCTTCGTCTCACGCGGATCCTGGCTTAAGCAGATGAGGAGCAAGTAGCTGACGCTCCGGCCACGGAAGGTGAAGGCGACGAAGCTGAGCCAAGGACTCAAGGTGAGACAGGGGAAGCGGCTGAAGGTCAGGCGGAACGAGCTGCCGGAGGTCACGAGGAACGAGTCGACCTGGATGAAGACGATGGCCTGTTTGGCACGTCACCTCGAGCTGAGGAGAATCGAAGGATGTTCGTGACGATGCTGGGAACGCCTCAGGGCAGGGCTAGCTTTCAAGAGTTCTTTAGGACTCTAGCTGATCGACCGACTCCTAGAGAGGAGCAGGCCCGGGCTAGGGAGACGCGTGAGACCGACACGACGAGTTCTGGAACGAGAAGAGGGGTACCGTTCTCGCTGGATCCGTCACGACCGTCTCTGGATCCCGTGGAAGAAACGAGTCGCGAGGCGACCCCTGCCGCGTCGACTGAGTATTCGCGTGGGGAGGATCCTCGTAGAGGATATGGGAACGACGCTCCTGCGTCATGGTCGAACGTTCGGAGTACGGTTAATTCTCGCGCTGAGCAGCAGAGCGACGTGGAACGTTACGGTGCGCCGAGGGCGACTTCGCGAGCTTATACTCCTACGGCAAGTCGTGAGACGACGTCTGCAAGCTACGGGAACGGCGTCCTGCTAGTCGTGGAACGACTTCCTACTAGTGCTGGAACGGCTTCCGCTAGTGACGGAACGAATTCTGTGAGTGGTGGAACGACCACTGTAGACCCGGCACTACAAGCTTTGATAGTCAACACCATCGGTCAGGCGATGCAACAGATTGCGGCGTCGAGTGGGTCAGTGGGAACGCCACGCATTCCGCTGGCGGATCAAGAACCAAGAATGGCGAATACGCCGCCGGTGTACTCGAGCGCCGAGATGGATCGACTGCTAGAGTCGCCGAGGAGTGAAATGCGTAGTCCTGGAGGTGGTAGGGCTGTGTACCAGTCACCCACTGCGCCTAGGACGAGCAGACCTATGTCTCCTGTCTACGCGTACGATAACGTGTCCGCTCCTACGCCTAGAACGAACGATGGGGGAGGAACGTATGGAACGTCCCGAACCAACTCGTTCCGAAATCCGTTTGCTCCGATGTTGCCGCCTGGTTGGGATCCGATTGAGATGCCTCCTATGTACCCACCTACGCCTGTAACTACACCTTCTGTGTCTGCAGAAATGAGGTCGGAGGGATTTCCGAATTGGGGAACGAAGCCAGCGAATGTGAGATCGTTCCCGAATTACAGTGAGAATCTGGGTCTTCATGGGAACGTTGGGCTCAATCCGGAACGCTATCCGAGGACTGCGACTTCTCATCCAGATAAACCCGCTGATCGTTACGCAGAACGCGAGTCACGAGACTACTCCCGAGGTCACGTTCCTGTTGTTGGAATTCCGAACGAATTGAGGAACGCTGTCAAAGTGATCGTTCCATTTTATTCGGACACGGCCACGAGTGAGCGTGCTGCGGCGTTCTGGCGCTCGTTTGAGAAGTGCACGGTGGGCATGGACGATCAAATGCGCTTGACTGCTTTTGAACAATGCGTGAAGGGCAAAAAGGGTCAAGAATGGTGGTACAATTCGAGGATCGACAGCTTCGAGCTCCTTCGTTCCAGATTTCACAACCGGTTCATCTGCTTGACCCCGACTCAATCGTGGGCCCGTCTTAAAACGGCCGCGAGGAAACGTGGCGAGTCTGCAGAAGAGTGGGGAGATCGACTTTCGACGATATGTGACGCTTTTAACATGCCTGACCCTCGTATGAGGTACGAGTTCTTCCTTGAAGGAATAAGGAACAAGCAGATGCGAGCGGTGTTGAACGGTAACATGATCGGGTCCATTGAGCAAGCCTGTCGCATCCTGTTGTTCAAGAATCTTCACTTGCCTGTTGAAGAGGACGACGAATTTCCTGAGGAAGGAGCGAAGCAATCGAGTACGAAGAATGCACCCGCGACTGACATACAAGTGCTACAAGAGTTGCAACAACTGAATCGGAACGTGCTGAAGAGTTCTGGAACGAGCCATGGGCATATAAGTGCGGTGGCTCCGACCGTTCCAAAACCGGCTAGCGTTCCAAACGAGAGCACTGGGGCCGAAATTGGACCGCCGAACATTCGTATGGGTCCTGACACTCGCACAGCGGAAGGTGAAGTCGTGTGTGGTCGTTGCGAGCGTAAGGGATGCAGTCGTGAGACGTGCCCTCGTGCGAGAGGCTATTGTAATCGCTGTCACAAGTTTGGTCACTACTCTATGGAGTGTAACTTGCCCAGGAGGGCGAGTGGAGGTCGATATGGAGATCGTCGTACTCAGGAGTGCGTCTTCTGTCGACAACCGGGTCATAGCGTGACAAACTGTCCAGAAGTCGAGAAACTGCGTAGCCTCTCGAGGAGTAGAGTATTAAGATTGCACGTGTAACCGATGAATTCGATGCTACGATGTGA